TTCTAGGGAGGGATTCATAGGAAGCAGCCTCCGGCCCCGGACATCCCGGCTGCCAGAGGTTTGCTGACCTTCGACCTGTGATCTGAACAGATGGGGTTTGCGGACAATCCCCTCAGTGGAGAACTCTCAACCCCTCCTTCCATCCCTTTGTTCTCCCCCCCCCTCCTCCTCCCACAAAACCTCTGCCTGAGTCCATTTGTTAAGATGGTCTTTGCACCTGGCCACTGTGGCTCAGAGGTTAGAGCGCTGGCTCGAGCACCGAAGGGTCTGGGGTTCAACACAGGTCATGGGCACGTACCTCGGTTGCACGTTCACGGCACGTCCCCTGGTTGGGGCGTGTTCGGGAGGCAAGCAGTTGCAGTGTCTCTCTCACATCGACGTTTCTCTCCCTTTCTCTCCCTCTCCCTCCCTCCTCCTTTCCACTTTCCCTGATAAACAGGGGTCCTCAAACTACGGCCCGCCGGCCACATGCAAATACAAATATTGTATTTGTTCCCGTTCTGTTTTTTTACTTCAAAATAAGATATGTGCAGTTTGCGTAGGAATTTGTTCATAGTTTTTTTTTAAACTATGGTCCGGCCCTCCAACGGTCTGAGGGACAGTGAAGTGGCCCCCTGTTTTAAAAGATTGAGGAGCCCTGCTGAAAAGCAATGAATAAGATATCCAATGGTGAGGATTCATGAAAAAGTAATTTAAAAAAGGGGATGACCTTTGTGATGAGAGTCTCCAGTCTCCTCGGGCTGCCGGCTCCTGAATAAACCGTCTTTCCTCCCAGCAGCACCGGCCCCTGGAGGACTGGCGGCAGCAGCAGGCAGCCGAGCCTGGCTCGGTACCAAATCTGGCTCTTGGAGTGTTGGCAACAGCTCAGAGCACATGGCCTGTTAGAGTGACAGCCTGCTCATCCAATGGAAACGGTGCACTTGAGTCTTGGAAGGAGTGAGTGATTGATGTGCAAGTCAGGGTTTGGGGACAGTGACGAGGCCCGGAGTTCCTAGTATGTGTATGTTCCCCCATTTCTAAGAATCAGCGCATGCTCAGAGGCCCCCTAAAGGCAGACAGCGGAAGGTTGCAGGGTCAGAGCGCGGAGCCAGTGAAGGACCGAGAATGCTTCCAGGCCCGGAGGCAGGTCAGTGACACCCGCCTGTCACGGCAGAGTCAGGTCAAGGGTCAGACCTGAAATCGCAGGGAAGGGTCAGGGGCCCTTTGATGTTAACGCTGTAATAAACGGAACAAATGACACCTGAGGTGACACCAGGTGAGCGTCTCGGAGCCAGGACATAAGAATAGAGCGAATGATCACAGGTTGATCAGATTGAATCTGTGCCCTCCCAGGTCAGAGCCTGCACAGGCCCATGTGGGGGCTCCCAGCCCACCCAGCAGGGGCACCAGGTCCGCACCTCCTCGGGCTGGTGATGGCCCCTACCCTGAGGGTCAGCTGCATTCCCATCAACCCGGTGCCCCTGGGCCGGTGGTCAGGAGCCTCCCGCCCTTCCTCCCGCTTCCCTTGGGCGGCCCTGACCCTCAGCCCCGTGACGCCAGGGGCCCAGGACGGGAAAGCGTGTTGCTGAGCATCAGGACATCAGCTGAGACCCGGCGAGGGCGCTCCCCAGGGTCGCTCCGTGCATCCTGGGTTCTTTCTGTGCCCGACTGCCCTCCTGCGAGTCCCTGGATGGGACGTGCTCTCCTGTCAGCCCCCGTGTCCCGACTCTGGCTTCTCTCCTACTTGGGCGGTGAAGGAAGAGGCGAGTCTGCCCTGCACACTGCCGCCCCCCCAGCAGGACCTTGCCGCCCTCTTCCCCTCGCTCCTCTGTCTGGGCCAAATCCCACACTAAAGCGAGGTGGTCGAGTTGGCTTCCAGCAGCGCGTCGCTGGGAAAAGGGAAAACACCACCAGCGCCTCTCAGATCTGAAGCTCTGCCCTGTGAAGAGCTCCCGGGTCTCCGGAGGGAGCGTGTTTACAGTGGGATCGGCCCCGGGAGGCCAGGGAGGGTGGGCCTGTCTGGAGCCGCGTGGCAGCCAGGAGGCAGGAGGCAGGGACTCTCTCCTAAAGGCGGGGGGCTGCCCACATGGCCAGCCGCCTGCTCCTGCACCTGCTCTCGCTGCCTGGCCTCCAGCTGCAGCCTCTACACCTTCCCGTGCAGCTGGGAGAGCCTGCCCGTTAGCACCCACCACCTTTCAGCAGAGGGATGCAGCTCAAGGCCGCCACCTCTGAGCCTGCCTGGGCGTTTGCCCCTCTGAGTGTTTCTCACTCTTTTTTAAAGAAATTTATTTAATACTAGAGGCCCGGTGCCTGCACCCTCTCCAATCTGGGACGCCTCATGGGAGATCCAACTGATGGTTTAGGCCCTGTGCAATTGGGCCTAAACCGGCAGTCAGACATCCCTCTCACAATCTGGGACTGCTGGCTCTTAACCACTGGCCTGTCTGACTGCCTGATTGCCCATAACCACTCCCCTGCCGGCCTGATCGACACATAACTGCTACCCTGCCAGCCTGATCAACCCCAACTGCCCTCTCCCACAGGCTTGGTCCCCCTCAACTACCCTCCCCTGCAGGCCTGGTTTCCCCTAACTGCCCTCCCCTGCCGGTCATCTTGTGATGATGTGGGCCAGCCATTTTGTGACAACGTGGGGACAGCCATATTGTGACTAGAGGGCTTGACTGTCAATTTGCATATTACCTCTTTATTAAATCAGATATTTTAATTGATTTCATAGAGGAAGGAAGGGGGAGAGAGAGAGAAACATCACTGATGAGAGAACATCACTGATGATCAGCTGCCTCCTGACGCCCCACACTGGACCGAGCCCACTGCCGGGGCCTGTGCCCTGACCCGGATGAAATCGTGACCCCTGGTTCATAGGTCGATGCTCAACCCCTGAGCCCCGCTGGCCGGGCCCTTCTCAGTTTTCTTTCTAACGATCGGTGCCAGGATGGTGCCTCCCAGGCCTGACCGTCTGCAGCCCCTGAGCGCTGTGGTCAGTCCAGCCGCCTGGACCGAGAATCAGTGCCAGTGTTTACTAACAACGCCAACATGGTCGGGGGCAGCTCCCAGAAGCACATAACTCCTTCTTCCCAAGGTGATTATACTTATAATGGCTTCAGTGGGGAGCTCCCTATTTGTTTACCTAAAAGGGGGACTTCAGGATGTTTGCAGCTTGGCCAAGAAAATAAGATGTTCTACAGAGGTGCAGACATTGCTAACATTGCAGGCCCCTGGGATGTGGGAAAATATATTCAGAGTGTTACTAAACTGGGGTTCCCCAAGGTCACCCGATGGCTGTGTGATCGGCATCCCCTGCTCCCCTCCTGCCGTAATAGCACCACTACTGAGCTGGGAGCATTTCCTCAATGGTAAGATTGCGCCAACTCTGTACCAGTGAGACATACTATTTCTGGCTCTGACTTGTATGTCTTGGATTGGTATCACAGGCTTGATGCTAAACGTCCCCATCACGAGCCTATATCACCAGGAGGGTTGTGGGTAACACCCTGAACACGGAAACAGGAGGTTTACAAAAAGATCTTTGGCGTTTAGCTGCTGCCCTTGACTTTCTTAATTCTCTGGCTCTTTCTTAGCTGATATTAAAGGAGCGTGTCCATCGAGCCCTTGCCATGGCTTAGGAGCCTGTGTCCAGCCTCCGTATGTATTGGTGACTGGAAAGGTGAACATCACCAGATTGGACACCCATTATGCTGTCCAATGCCATCACTGTAACCTTACCAGCTGTGTTTCCAGGCATCACCTGAATGGAGATATAGTAATTTCAAAGCAGCCTTCCTTTATTATGCCTCCTACACACATAACAGGGAAATGGTACCATGATGCACGCCTCCAGGCATTGCAGGAACTGCACAATCAGCTCTCCCAGGAACAGTGTGCTGTGGGCTTATTAGTTCTGGTCTCGTTACCCTCGTTACTGTCATCGCAGCTGCTGTGACTGCTTCTCTTCCATTGACCCAGAGCCTCCAGAATGCGAAGTTTGTCAATCGGCTCAGAACACCTCAGCTACACTTCACGATCAAGAAGATATAGACAAAAGGCTAGAAACAAAGCTAAATGCTCTGGAAGCTGTAGTGATAGGACTAGGCAATCAATTAGAAAGTGTCAAGATGAGACAGCAGCTGCAATGCCATGCTGCTTTCACATATATTTGTGTGACGTCAGCCCCGCTATGACAGTTCTCTATGGGATTGGAGTAAAATCAAGATGCACCTACAGGGAATATGGCATCATATTAATATCAGTATAGACCTCGTACGGCTACACAAACATGTGCAAGCCATTCTGAATAGTCATGATGAAAGTATATCTTCAGTGAAACTGGCAAAAGAATTGCTGGATGATTTAAAAGGATTTAATCCATGGAAAATGTTAAAACACACCACCTGGCACCTAATAGGATTCCTTTATGTACCACAAAATGTACCCTGCTTTCTTTTCGTCAGCAGCAAGCTCCTGAGATCTCAAGTTCAAAGGCTCCAATGAGATGTCCAGGCTACATTTAAAATATAAAGAAGGGGGAGATGTAGAGACCACTGGAGAAAGGTCCCTGAGCTGATTGTCATCTGAATCCAGTGGCGCCTGGCAGAGCCATGCCCTGGAAACATACCTTGCCAGAGGCAGGTGTGTTGTCAGTCTGACCTTTAGTTCAGGCGCCAGGCACCTGAGTTCCAGCCAGGCACCAGGACAAACACGATTATCCAGGCCCATCAGAAGTGACGATTACAAAGAAGCCACGAGAATACACATATTTTCTTTTCCTTAAACGTGAGTAAAACTTCCTGGTAACTTACTGTATAAAATAAACCCACTGTATCTGCTCTAGGTCCCTGTCTCTCCATGAGAGGGCAGCTGACCCACCCTGTCCCAGCTTTCCCTACTGTCTTTGTGTCTGTCTCTTTCATTTTCCCAATCTCCTGTCGCCCCTACTCAGGACTCCTGTCCACTCTAGCTGTGCTGGTCGCAGAAAAGAGGTAAATATTTATAGATTGGCATCTGTGTGCCTGCGGAGTGAGGCGAAGCTTTATTGAGGATGCGTGCAATGCACAAGGTCAGGATCACCCTCACCAAGGCAGGTGAGAGAGGAAGGGCGAGGAGTCGGTTGGGGTCTCCAAGCTGAGAGTCCCTGACAGGCTGGGGGAGGCCCCAGGCGAACTCCGCCTTTGCGTGTGGGCCTCCTGTGCCTGTGCTGGGGGGCGCGGGACCTGCTGGGAGAGAGACGTTCAGGGCCACCAACCCCCCTACACGGGCCGCACTTTCATCTCGGCCACCTTGTAGCTGTAGTTGTACCCCTTCCCCGAATGCCAGTTGATGCCGTTCGCAAAGCTCTCGTGGGAGCCCCCGAGGTAGCGCCCATTCAGGTTGGACACGTGGCAGTTGTAGTACCACCAGGCGCCCTGGTAAGTCTCGGCGCAGTTGGAAGAGGCCCCGTCGTTGTCCTGGTCTTCGGTGGAGAACAGGGAGTTGTTGTGTTGGGTCAGGGAGTCACCTGCCGGGGAGAAACGGGGCACTTACACTCAGTGCCAGGAGGTGCCGGCACCAGGTCCGGCCGGAGCTGTCCAGCTGCGCGTCGTGCGCTGGGAAGTCTGACGGTGCCGTGCAGGCCAGCGAACGCACGTTCGGTGGATCCCCGGCCTTGGTATCCCCCCCTCTGCTCTGTGCCGCCAGCGAACGGGCACGGTGCCCGTAGAGGGGAGGCCACTGCCCGAGACGTCCAGGTCCCTCAGGCCCCACGGGAGGGACGTGCGCCATGAGCGGTGCTACCCAGGC